GAGCCCAGGAGTTAGAGGTTGCTGTGAGCATGATGCCATGGCACTCTACCCAGGGGGATAGCTTGAAGCTCGCAAAAAAATATATATATATATTGGTGATAGTGGTGGCCTTCAGCCATCTCTCAATTAAGTCACATAGTATGACCAAAGGTTGAAGTTTCCTTGAGGTTTTCCAGAAGGAGGTGACATGTAGACTGGTTTGACATGTAAGACCACTGCTTCGGAGCCACATTGACCAGGCTCTGAGTTTGGGTTCTAATGTTCATTAACTGTGTAATCTTGGGTGAGTTACTTAACCTCTCTGAGGACATTTCATCAACTGCAAAATTATTCCAAACAGAGTTGTAAATTAAATGAGATGTGTTTGGCAATAATGACTGCATAGTTAGTACTCAAAAATTGGTAATCATCATATTCATTCTGGAAAAGCAAAACAAAGTTATAAGTATTCAAGATAAGTAGTTTACGAAGCACAAAAATAGCAAAATTGTTTTCTGCAATGACATTCACTATGACTCAGATTTAAAAGCTTTCTAAAAATAGGGCATTTGTTAGGTGCCAGGTACTGTGATAGGCAGTAATGCTGCATAAGACACATTCCTGTCTTCCAGACACTGGGTCCTGAGGGTAAATAATACTCACTGTGGCTGTACAGTGACACACTTGAGCCCTCTGCCATCTATGTTGGAGGATTGGTGTTTAAGCAACTTGGAAAGGACAGGTTGGAATACTGTGTCCCTAAGCACCACTTAAATTTGTCTGAACTTTGCTTGTGTGTAAAATGGGGTAATGATCTGGTGTCTTTGTTTATAAAAAAAAAAATAATCAATCCCACTTCATAAGTTGTTACAAAGTTGAATATTAAGCCCTCAACATGTTAACCGAGTAAAAGCTTTAGATATTAGCTGCTTCCTTATTGGTATTCTAGGGAACAGTGCAGCTATCTAACATTTCAAGAAAGATCATTAGAAGGAAAAGAAGCAACCTGCATAGCTGTGTGTAGCATGTTATCATTTGTGTTAAAAGGGTGTATAAGGGGTGATACCTATGGCTCAACGAGTAGGGTGCCGGCCCCATATGCCAGAGGGGGTGGGTTCAAACCCAGCCCTGGCCAAAAATAAAATAAAATAAAATAAAAATAAAAGGGTAGATAAGGATATAGACTTGCTATATTCAGTTTTGTTTGTTTGCCACCAAGAAGATCCTGTGTGTATGTGGTGGGGGAAGAGGGGAGTTAGTGATAAAATAAAACTTTATAATTCACTGGGAGAAATTATACCTACTTAATAAATAGTGCTGGGAGAAATGGCTAGCTACATGCATGAGAATGAAACTGGACCCCCACTTCTCACCACTTACAAAAATTAACTTGAGGCTTGGCACCTGTAGCTCAGCAGCTAGGGAGCCAGCCACATATACCGGAGCTGGTATAAGGGCTGGTATACCAGGCAGGGTTGAATCCAGCCTGGGCCTGCCAAACAACAATGACAAATACAACCAAAAAATAGCCAGGTGTTATGGCAGGCCCCTATAGTCCCAGCTATTTAGGAAGCTGAGGCAAGAGAATCGCTTAAGCCCAAGAGTTTGAGGTTGCTGATACTATTCATCCCTAAAAAAGATGATGTTTTACATCCTTTGTAATAACCTGGATAGATTTGAAGAACATTCTCCTAAGTAAAGCATTGCAAGATTGGAAAACCAGCATCACATATACCCATACCAATTTAAAAGTAGAATAATACTCATAAACCAAGGTCAGAGAAAATCTCAATTAAATTCAAGAATTTAAGGCCTTGTGTGGTGGCTCACACCTGTAATCCTAGCACTCTGGGAGGTCAAGATAATAGGATTACTTGAACTCAGGAGTTCAACATCAGCCTGGACAATATCTAGACCTCATCTCTATTAAAAAAAAGAAAAATGGGCAGCACCTGTGGCTCAAAAAGTTAGGGAGGGTGCCGGCCCCATATGCCAGAGGTGGCAGGTTCAAACCCAGCCCCAGCCAAAAAAAAAA